GTGACCATAGATTAATCTTTCTAACGTCAATAGTTGTCGTCGGGGCACACAAACCACACCACGGCGAAGCCTAGTCTTTTCATGCCGTTTTTTTTCAAACACCAACCAAGTGGACCAGGCGACTATGCTAACATAGTCAAAACTATGACCTGGTTTGAGAGAATGCGAGTGTCACACGGATACCAGTGGTCAGTATAAATGAGTGAGTCACGGATTCACACAAACCATCACCACGGCAAAGTCCAGTTTCTTCTGGATGAAGAAAAGGCTGAAGGAATGGAAGAAGTGAAACGTGCTGTCAGTGAGTATTTCACTTGATTCGTTTAACAGACCCTCGGAAGCGTGTCAACAAAACCGCGAAAGGTCTCGATTGCTGGATGGAGAAAGTTTGGGCATAATTTTTCGAGCAACAATATAGTTGACCATCTGCTTACTCCTTTCTGGACTATCGGTGCCTAGCTGTCACGCCAGCCGAGGGAACGACGAGGGCTGGGATATTATCAGGCTGCCCAAGCCTAGACAGGTGAGGTTGATGTGCAGAGGTCAGTCTCGAACCACGAACCTTCCGGTCTGTAAATTCACGCTTTAATGGCAGTACCTGTCTAACTTGTTTGCGTCCATCTGGGAGGAAAAATATACCGTACCACACCATCGATTTGATTCCGTAATAGTGCTGCTCTTCAAATTGTAAACCTATTATGCAGCTTTTCGGGCTGCTGGCCTTGCCGATTCTTCGCCATCTCAAGGCTGTACGCGAAACTTTAATTCGTAAGTACCAAACGGGATTTCAAGCCGGTAGAGACGATGAGTGCGGTGTTCGAACTGTGCCATGACTTCAAGTGCGCTTTCTGTTTTGTTGATTGGTCAGTGTTCATCACGCTTTCTCAGCAGGGAATGCCACAGAAGTCCGTTAACGTAACTTGGTCCCCATGTCCACATACCTCCAGGCATGAGAGTGACACTGTAATGTGATGTTTAGCAAAGATTCCCTCTCCATCTCCACTTCTGTTCAACTTTGTTGTTAGGCAGGAATCCAAACGGATCCCACTATACCGCACGTCCTTAGGCGCTGCTACGGCCGAGAAGCCTGGTCTGCTCTAGGTTGGCCCAGAATTCGGGGCGCTTGCCGGTCCGGCATCAAGAAGAGATCTGATTGGTCAACAATCTGGACCCAACAACCAATCATGATCCAGTATTGGCCAAATGCCGGCTACCAATGGCGCATCCAGAACGCGTCAGAACTTCCAGAAAGTTATAACCGCTTACGCTATATATACGAAGCGCTGTACAACTGTTCTTGACTTCGTTTTGGGCATTAATAGATCCTGTGCACCTTTGGTGGTTGTTTTGACGTGAACGCTAGCTTGGGAGGCTCAGACCGAGAACTAAGCCGAGGAAAATACCGTTCCTACAACTGGAGAACGGGAACCCACGATGTCAATCGGATTTGATCAGCTCCGAGAACTATTGCAGCAGCAACAAAGGCAGTTTGAAGAAGCGCTACTGAAGCTCATTGAATCACTGACTCAGAAAATGCATATCCAGACAGCAGCAGTCAGTACTGGTGAGTCTTCTGTTTCCTCAACTGATGCAGCCGCGGCCTCAATTACGGAGTTCACATTTGACGCTCTTTCTGGTCACACTTTTGACTCCTGGTTCAAGCGGTACGAAGACATGTTCAAAACTGATTTTTCCAAATTTGACGATGGATGGAAAGTCAGACTATTGCTGCGAAAACTCGGCACACCGGAGCATGAACGGTTCACAAATTTCATTCTCCCCAAGCTGCCCCGCGACCTCAGCTTTCATGAGACGGTCAGAACACTGTCCCAGATATTCGGCGGTCAAACATCACTGTTCAATATCCGCTACCAATGCCTTAAGTTGGCCAAGAAAGATGATGATGATTTCATCACGTTTGCCGGTGTTGTCAATCGAGAATGCGAGCGCTTCAAGCTCAGCTCAATGACGGAGAATCAGTTTAAGTGCCTCATTTTCGTATACAGTCTCCAGTCCTCCCATGATGCTGACATCAGAACCCGGTTGCTTAACAGAATTGAACAGGATGCCGAAATAACGTTGCAGTGCCTCTCCACTGAATGCCAACGCCTCATCACCCTGGAGCACGACACGGCTATGATCCGACAAGAAGCCCGATCGAAGACAGGGTAGGCCTCCCACGAGTTGCTGGCACTGCAGTGAGTGGCATTTTGCTCGTTATTGCAGGTTCAGGCGTCACAAATGTTCCAGGTGCAGTCGTTGCGGCCACAAAGAAGATTTATGTCGATCTCAAAGACTGCAGCCACCGGCACACCACCGTGCAGCCCGCAAATCGCGGTCCAACTCGGTGACGACAACATTCAAAGTTCATTTTGCTTGCCGAAGGAGGTTCGTGACGGTTCGTATCAACGACATCCCAGTTCGTTTGCAACTTGATACTGGCTCCGATATCACGCTGCTCAGTGAACGAACGTGGAAACGAATCGGTAAGCCACATGTGAAGCCGACTGAACACTGGGCCCGTAATGCTTCCGGTGGTAAACTGAAGTTGACTGCCTCATTAATTCCAATGACTCGACGGCGCAAGCCACCTGCTACCTGACATCATGCCCCAAACTTGATCTCATGGGGCTAGATTGGATCGAAAAGCTTAATCTGCTGGATACACCAATCAATTCTATTTGCAACCGCATACACGCAGCACCCGGACAAACTGATTTGCCAAAGCGTTCACTTGAACACCTCCTACAACGTTATGCATCTGTATTCACTGACGAGCTTGGACGGTGTACAAAAGCAAGAGCCAGACTGTGCCTCCTCCCTGGTGCCAAGCCAGTCTTCAGGCCAAAACGTCCAGTGCCTTATGCAGCCTTGCCTGTCGTTGACCAAGAACTGGACCGACTTCAGAAGGCGGGTGTTCTCCAACCGACCAACTACTCTGCTTGGGCCGCACCTATTGTGTTGGTAAAGAAGGCTAACGGGACGATCCGGTTGTGCGCAGATTTCTCCACCGGTCTCAACGCGGCACTGGATACCCATCAATACCCCCTGCCTCTCCCAGACGACTTGTTCGCGAAACTGAATGGGGGTAAATGTTTCGCAAAGATTGACTTGGCCGATGCGTATCTCCAGGTTGAAGTGGAGGAAGAATCCCGAGAACTGCTCACGATCAATACGCATCGAGGTCTGTTCCAGTACACTCGACTGCCATTTGGTGTCAAAGTAGCGCCGGCCATATTTCAACAGATTATGGATACGATGCTGAAGGATGCACCAGGCGTTGCCGCCTATTTGGATGACCTCATTGTCATGGGTTCCAATCCCCACGAACTGTGGCAGCGCCTTGATTACGTGCTTAGTCGTATTCAAGAATATGGCTTCAAAGTGCGCCGAGAGAAATGCACATTTTTCATGCGGTCGATAAAGTACCTGGGGTTCATTATTGACGAACATGGCCGCCGTCCAGACCCGGAGAACATTGAAGCGATCAGACGTATGCCAGCACCCACAGACGTGGCGTCCCTCAGGTCTTTCCTCGGTCTCGTCAGTCACTACAGTTCGTTCCTGCCTGCCATGCATCGCCTTCGAGGCCCACTAAATCAGCTACTTACCAAGGACCACAAGTGGACATGGTCAGAAGAATGTCAACGCGCCTTTGACTCTGTCAAATCCATGCTAAGTTCCGATTTGCTACTCACACACTACGATCCATCGATGGAAATTGTTGTGGCGTCGGACGCCTCGAACTATGGAATTGGCGCAGTGATTTCACACGTATTTCCAGATAGCAGCCAGAAAGCCATTGCACATGCGGCCAGATCCCTGACTTCAGCCGAGCGCAACTACAGTCAGATAGAAAAGGAAGCCTTGGCGATCGTGTTTGCCGTTAAGAAGTTTCATAAAATGCTTTACGGCCGTCAATTCACCCTACTGACCGATCACAAGCCACTTCTTGCTGTGTTTGGCTCGAAGAAAGGAATTCCGGCATATACTGCCAACCGGCTCCAGCGATGGGCCACTCTGCTTCTGGGGTACGACTTCAAGATAAAATACCAGTCCACTACCAGCCTGGGACAAGCCGACGCACTGTCCCGACTCATTGATTCAAGCAGGCCAGAACCAGAAGATACCGTGATCGCAACAATTGCCTTGGAACCAGAGGTTAACCACGTAGTTTCCGAAGCTGTTCGCATCCTCCCAGTGACTGCCGACATGGTCCGCCAGGCTACCGATCAAGACCCTGTGCTGCAGCAAGTCATAAAGTACCATCGCAATCAGTGGCCGCGTACCTGCCAAAAAGACGAACTAAGGCCTTACTTCAACCGGCGTGACGCATTATCACTAGCCGATGGATGCCTGTTGTTTTCAGAACGTGTGGTCATCCCAAAGAAGTTACAACCAGCCGTCCTGAATCAGTTCCATAAAGGGCACCCGGGAACAAACAGGATGAAGGCCCTTGCTCGGAGTTATGTCTACTGGCCTTTGATGGACTCCCAGATCGAGCAAGTCTCGAAATCTTGCCTGCGGTGCGCTGAAGCATCCAAGTCACCGGTGAAAACCTACCTACGCTCGTGGCCGCAACCGACCGAACCCTGGTCTCGTCTTCACATCGATTATGCAGGTCTAGTGGGTGGCCAACACTTTTTGGTAGTGGTCGACGCGTACAGCAAATGGCCGGAAATTTTTCCGGTGAACAGCCCCACAACTGCCATCACAGTCCTGGAACTCCGGCGATTGTTCAGTCGTTTTGGGACGCCAGAGACTATTGTATCTGACAACGGCAGTCAGTTTACGTCGTCGGCGTTCGCACACTTTTGTCGGGAGTATGCCATAACGCATATACGCTCGCCGCCGTTTCATCCACAGTCGAACAGCCAAGCGGAGCGCTTTGTTGACACTCTCAAGCGGGCACTTCAGAATCCAGGGGGAGGGACCAACGGAAGAGATTTTGCAAAGGTTCCTGCTGGCATATCGACCGACGCCAAACCCCAACTCACCTGATGGAGTATCACCAGCAGATGCACTGCTCCGAAGGTGGCTTCGAACACCGCACGACACTATCCGGCCACAAACAAAGCAGGCTGGTCACCGCAACACCAGAATGGAGGAACAGGTCAACCGGCATCATGGAGCAACTGCGCTCGCATTCAGTGAAGGCCAGAGAGTGTTGGTTCGTGACTACAGTGGTGCTACTTGCCTTCCAGGATGGGGATCCCGTGCTCCTCACTGTGCCTGGTTGGAGACACTACAAGATATGGCTGCCAACCGATGTCAATGGCGCTCTTGTTGTCAGTTTCTATCCAGATTGCCTGAGTGAATGTCTGGAGGTGTAGGCACCTCGAAATGATTGTGGTAAGCTAGCACTAAGTCCCTTCCCCACCCACCTTTATTCTTTTCTTTACAATAAGGCTTTCAAATAAGTCATGGTTGTACGGTAGTGAAGCATCGGTGTTGAACACTGATGTCATCCTGTCGATGATGATGATGTCAGTCAAATAAACAGACTATTACTATGTGTAGTTAGAAGTGCTCGGTTATAGTGTTTGGTTCCTGGAGATGTTCAATATAACGAACTAAGTAGCAATTTTGTCCTTCTTGAAGAGGTACCCACCCTTAAGGATTAGTTCACTACATTGTCTCTGCACTTTCTTTCAATACAGGCGTCTAGCCACTTTTATCGAGAACCAAGTGGTTCAAATGTAACCTTGATGATCGCTTACACTTCCTCAGGATTGCTGTTCATGGTGCTTGAGCTTACTGGTTCGGGTCGCGGACTCCTTCGTTCGCTCATGAATCTGTCTACATGCATTCTTAATCCTACCCCACCTGTCATTGCCATCGGTGGACCTACGGGTACTGGAAAATCCAAGCTCGCTATTAGTCTGGCTTCGATTTTCCGTGGTGAGGTAGTAAATGCCGATGCCGTACAACTTTACGAGGGGCTAACAATCGCCACAAACAAGGTGAGAATTCCTCTAACACTTGTTCCTGGCTTTGTCTCGCAAGTAGGTTTTGCTCACATACACACCCCACTTCTGCCCCCCTCCCTGACATCAGGTCTCCGAATCTGAAGCCGCTGGTGTGCCTCATCACCTTATTGGTTGTTTCCCTCCTGCGTTTGCTTACTGCGCAGATGTTCATAAATACAAGGCCGTTTGCCTCCCTACAATTGACAAGATACGCCTTGAAAACCAACGAATCCCATTTCTGGTTGGTGGCACACACTATTATATGGAAGCCATTCTTTGGTCTGATTTCCTAACATCAACAGACAAACCCGATTCGGATGACTTGGATAGGTAAGGATGTTGCGGTTGGTCTCCCCAATTCGGTGCGAAACATTCAGGCTCGTTTTCTCAGGGCTGTATTTTCTTCGAAGTCATCATTTGTTGTCGGTAACTTTAGTCCTGTTACTATGTTTAATGTTTCAAGTTATGACAGGCGATAAATCTGCCTCAGTAAAGTTTAGAAGGCTGAAGTCCATGATCCTTGATCGTTTCTAGGTATGTGACAGTTCTCGTTACATCATAGAATGAATAGACGGTTTGAAAGTGAGGCATTCGATATCGGGTTTTGCGTTGGATTCCGCGCCTACGGTGTTCATTAGCAGAAAGAGACGATGTCCCGTACGAGATGGGGCTAAATGGGTTCCAGCCTTACGCAGAATAGGTAGCTTGTGAACGTCTTTGTTCGGTCACTTCCGGGGGAATTGGGACCCACCCTTGCCTCGTCTAATAAATAGCGGGTATTCTTAGCATTTGCGCATCTCATGGGGGCGGGATAGCTCAGTGGTTACTGATCGGCATGTCCGTGGTTCGAACCTGACCTCTGCCTCTCGACTACCTCTGTCAAGGCTTGGGCAACCTGGCAGTATCCCAGCCCTCGTACTCTCTTTGAGTGGCATGGCAATTAGGCACCGAAGGGGTGCTACGATTTTTTTGCGCCTCTTATGGGAACAAGCACAGTCCCATAACAGACAGAGAATAAAACCATTTACCTATACAACACCTACTACCCGATGTTGCGTCTCCTCATTGACCAATTTACAAAGGATTATTTTTTCATCTTGTCTCATTTGTAATTTTGGTTCAAACAGAACATGGGGTTGAAGGTAACTTGGGGATTGCACCTCCCTGATGAACCTCAAGAAGTGCGAAACCGGTCGTGGGCTGTTGGGGCTGTCAGTATCCCCAAGAACGGTTAATTTTTCGAGTTGCCAAATTATTTTTCAAAAATTTTGAATTTTAATTAAGCAACATTTCGAAAAATAAACTGTCTTTCGGAGATACTGACATCCCCAACAGCCCACGACCAGTTTCACACTTCTTGAGGCTCATCAGGGAGGTGCAGTCCCCAAGCTACCTTCAACCCCATGTTCTGTTTCAACCAAAATTACAAATGAAACAAGATGAAAAAATAATCCTTTGTAGATTGGTCAATGAGGAGATGCAACACCGGGTAGTGGGTCTTTTATAAGTAAATGGTTTTCTGGTTCTTGTTTTTTTCTGCCAAGGAGTCTTCAACAACCTCATGTGTGGTGTCTAGACAATCACCTGATATCTTTTTTGATGTTTTTTGATGAGTCTACTGTTATGGTGGGCGTTAGATGTCTTAGTGGTTAAGGCGCGAAGATCCATGTTTCGAACCCGATCTCTGCATCTAGACTTCTCTTATCTGTACTTGGGAAACCTGGTAGTATCTCAGCCCTTGTGCCTCCTTCCGTGGCATGGCAGATAGGCACCGAAATGGTGCTACAACTGAATGAATATTGTTGTTACTACTATTATTTTTTATGTATGAGTCGATGGAAGACACGTGTTAGTGTTACTGATACCATTCATTGAATGGAACTCCATTCTTCAGCTCTGTAAACATATGTGCGAACAAACGATTAAATTTCCATTGTTGTATGGTCCAATAGAGCCCATGAAGAAAGCCTGAGGGCTCAGACACTAACAGGTTGCCCAAACCAAGACAGGAGCAATCGGTATACCAGGGTTAAGTTTGAACTGCGGACTTCCGGTCAGTAATTTCACGAATTAGCCACTGAGCCATCTTCGAACAAGAAATAAAAAGTCTTGGTTCTGCAATGTTGTCGTGCAGCTCGAAGCAATCAACACACCTGCCAGTTGACCCAGGCCTTGATAGTAGCAATCAGGAAATCAAGACTGAATTAGATCAAGGACTACGTTTTCTACAGCTTTTATTTTAACCTCTGAACTTTCCCGTAATTTTAAGCTAGGTACAATTTGTGGTAGACATAGCTAATGTGTTGAACTATTGGTAGCTCGGGTGAGTTTACTGGTTGTTGATCAGATGGCTGTTGACCTGTTCACCGAGCTTGCAAACGTTTCGTCACCATACGAGGAGACATCATCACTGCGCACTGATAATGTCACTGGTCACTTCGAGCTGGCTGACAGACCTGGCACATCCACCGACGCGTCTCGGTCTGTCATGAATCTCGCCCACATAACGTCTTTTCCTGGCTTTTAAGGCTTATGGAAATACCCTATTCACACTCCGTATGTTGTCCGGTTCCAAGGTTCACTGCGAATCTGTGGATATCACCGAGGCCGTCTACCAGTGAATCGCTAAAAAGACAACGACAGTGCGACGTCAGGTCGCTTTGTTCAAGAGAGGTCACGTGGTCACACCAAAGAGTCATTTAAAATCAGGAAGTCAATCGAAAACGACCAGACAATTTTTATACAACAATCAATCACTAATGGATTGATGAGCCCCAATATCTGTTCACAAGTGATTTGTTCTGGCCATCTCTCGGTCACTTAGGCATCAGGGACGCTTATGCGACGTGACCTGGCTGTCCCGATGTTAGTCACTGCCCCTTGCTGCCTAAGTGTCTCCTCACTGGCTCGTCTAAAAATCGTTCCATGGATATTTTGGAGCTTTAAACTCGGGATTCATCTCTCATGTGAAGCCATTTCTTAATGAAAAACCGAAATGGAGCGCACATCTGCTTTTCCTCCTTATAGGGCAGCTAGGGAGTTCCGATCAAAAATGAACTCGAGATAGCTCAGTAATGAAGGCGCAAACTTACTGACTGGAAGGTCTGTGGTTCCAACCAAACTTCTGCATCTGGACTGCTTCATGATGTTCATGATGTTCTTCATCATGTTCTCCGGGTTTTGCGTTGGATTCCGCGCCTACGGTGTTCATTGGCAGAAAGAGACGATGTCCCGTACGAGATGGTGCTGAATGGGTTCCAGCCTTACGCAGAATAGGTAACTTGTGAACGTCCTTGTTCGATCACTTCCGGGGGAGTTGGCACCCACCCTTGCCTCGTCGTCAACCAAACTTCTGCATCTGGACTGCTTCATGATGTTCATCATGTTCGGCACATGGTGAAATCGGACGTGCTTCAGACGTGTGGGCGTAATTGCACGGCCCTGTTTCACATGATTGTTCCGCCGCTCAGTAGGCTAATGTGCAGCCGTATTAGATAGTGATGATAATAGTAGTAGTAATCGTTCAGCTGTAACACCCTAGCTGACATGTCACCCGAAGCAAGTACGACAGCTGAGATACCGTCAGGTCACTCAAACCTAGACGGGGGGAGGGCGAGCTGGCTCAGGTGGTTAGAGCGCGAATTTACTGACCGGAAGATCCGTGGTTCGAATCCTACCTCTGCCTCTGGACTTCCCCTGTCTAGGCTTGGGCAACCTGGCGGTATCCCAGCCCTCGTGCTTCCTTCGGGTAGCATGGCAGCTAGGCACCAGAAGAATGTTACCGCTGAACGATGTTCCGGAGAAAGGTCAAAAAGGGACACAGAAAGTACACGCCCACTCCATGGTCAAGGCACCCCGTACACAAACGCACAGACGGCCATCTAAGATCAACCGAGACAAAAGAACAACCGCCCGAGAACCGGTGTGGGCGTGCAGGGGATACACTGGTTGGTTGAGACCAGATCGATCATCAAATACGGTCATGAATGAATCATATATAGAGAGAGAGTTGTAATTGCCTTAATACACAGTTCCTCCTGGTCGCTTTCTTGTCTTCTGACTATAACCCAGTAGCGTCAGGGAAGGTGAAAAGATACAACACTATTACTACTTTTAATATCATGAACCACAAAGTTCGGTGTAGCAGTTTAAATGGCACCAGTCAGTTTCGGAAGGCCGCCAGAAATGTGGGATTCATTATCTGTACGCTTATTCACTGACTGTCTCGTTGTCCCAACTGCATTTAAAGCTGAGACGGAACTCTGCGAGTTGTCCATCTGAACATGTACCCATCCTTGACTTGGTTCGTCTGACTAGTCACAATCCACAGTTACGTTCCGTTGTCCAAATTTTATCCGCTTGACCTTCAAATGCTATGTGGACCGGCCACCAATAGAAGTGATTATATTGTTCAGCCGTGGCATAGTTCTGGCCCTCGTAATTTGGTAGTATCCTTAAAAAATAATCGTTCAGCTGCGGCACCCTTCCGGTGCTTAGCTGCCATGCCACACGAGGGCTGGGATACTGTCGGGTTGCCCAGGCGTAGACAGGGGAAATCAAGAGGTACAGGTCGGGTTCGAACCAAGGACCTTCCGGTCAGTAAATTCGCGCTCTAACCATTTTAGCCATCTGGGAGTATTCCACTTCGCAGGTATGAACAATGGTATCTCCAATGCCAAAGGTAAAGTCGAACGGCATACTATTCTGTCGGAAGCTGTTCAGGTTCAAATCCAATCTTACAAATTGGATGGTGGGTAGCGCGTTTGATTAACTTTAAGACGATGAAATCAGTCTTTGTTTATTTTTGGAAGAGGACCACCGGGTTTTCGCAGCCCCCGTAGTATATGTTGTTTGCTGCGGAATACGCGGAACGTGGTGAACTTGTCCCACGAAAAAAAAGCTTCTTGAGGGAGGGCTAGGTAATTTTTTCTTGGGGGGAGGGCGAGATGGCCCAAGTGGTCAGAGCGCGAATTTACTGACCGAAAGGTCCATAGTTCGAACCCGACTTCCGCCTTTCGACTTCCCCCTCTCGACTTCCCCCGTCTAGGCTTGGGCAACCCGGCATATCCCAGCCCGTCGTGCAACCTTTGGGTGGCATGGCAGTTAGGCACCGGAAGGGTGCTACAGCTGAACGCTCTAGGTCATTTTTAGTGAATTTAGCATTCGGTGGTGTTAGGCATCAACCAACACTTTCATATCCGCTCATCTTTATTGATTCCATTATAGTATCCAAATTCCCGCAGATCTTTCGGAGTGTTACACCCAGCTGCAAGCCCTGAACTCGGAGGTTGCTTCTAAACTGCACCCAAAAGATGGACGTAAAGTACGGAGGGCCTTACGTGAAGCCTTGCTACACCAATCTGATTCTGTGAACAACTTCCTTGGTCAGCCGTCAGGGCAGAATCCCCATGACTATCCTCCGAATCGATCTTACCAACCTCGTTATCCGAATCAGTCTCTCTTCCTCTGGCTCGATTGTGATTCGACGGTGTTGAATAAACGTTTGGATGCACGCGTAGATCAAATGGTACGCAGTGGACTTGTTGCAGAGTTGGACAGGTTCCTGACAAGTTACTTTCGGGAAGTTGACTTGCGTGACAACGAAACCCAATCACCTGTGGGTATGTTCTGTTCCCAAGTATCGTACCCACCTTGCTTCATTGTTGATTTTGTGTGTTGTGCATTGCGACGGCTTCATCCTAGGCGTACCTGGCACACATTCTCTGCTCAGAGTTTCCGAGGATAACCTCCTTGCTCTGTGGTGGCTGTCTCCTCCGGGAGGTTCACTCGGCTTCACGGATTGCAGTGCTTCGGGAATGGTGGCCCGGATCGAGGTTTGAACCTAGTTCTGGTCAATTCCTGGTCCCTATTCAGAAAGCCGTAGGCCGACTTCACACCAAAAATCCCTGCTGCTGTTTGACGATCGNTTGATGAACCGCTCGAATGTCAGTGTTAGATGTCGAGATGGTTCAAGTGGTTAGAGCGCGAATCTACTAACTGGAAAGTCCGTGTTTCGGGCCCGACCTGTGCCTCTCGACTTCCCCTGTCTAGGCTTGGGCAACCTGCCAGTATCCCAGCCCTCGTGCTTCCTTCGGGTGGCATGGCAGCTAGGCACCGGAAGGGTGCTACAGCTGAACGCTTTATTTCTTTCTTTCTTTGAGTGCGATTCAGAGTTGGGTGATTGGTCATCAGGCTATCCCAATGTGGAACGACGGATTGGCGTTTTTGATCACGGTTAGAAATCCTTCAAGTATTAAGACATCGTGATCGGACTTCCCCATCCGTGTTTCTCTTTGAGGGCACATCTAAATCACTACTCATCGAAAAGCTTGACTTTCTGGGCACTGTCAGTTCGTGCGTGCCAGGGTTCACACCCATCATCTAACTCCGCACGAGTTTTTGTTCGGAATACGTAGATAAGGCTTCCTCTCCTCTACTTCACTACATTTTTCCATGTTGAGTGAACGTTATTTTAACAACGGTGGTACATACTGTTCGTTCAGGCGAACTTTCACAAATGTAACCGATACGAGACACTGAAAAATAGTCACGACCCGGAGAGCTCCACTGGCAACCACACTTCTTTTCACTAGCATCAGATTATAGCCCAGTGGAATTCACATGAAAATGGATTCGATCCAGGCCTGTTTGGGAACTGATGTGGTCTTTTGTTGTGATGGTGTAGTCTGTCTATCCAAAAACCCTTTGTTTTAAATCAAAGACCGTAGACAACACCGTATTGACCCAGTTGTTATATGGAATATTTTCCACTGCTAGCTTTCTATGCATCGTCGAGGGCATCTCAGTTAACTTCATCTACGCGTCTAACCTTGGGTGGGACTCATCAAGTGCACGTCGTGGGATTAGTCGCAGGTTGCTATCAGATTTCCGGTGTTACCTGTAATAGAACTGATCTGATAAATGCCATCCTATAAAACTTACTTTTGGTTGCTCATTTCAGTGTCCTCTAGCTCTGTTTTTCGCTTGTGCATTAGTAATTGTTATTACTTGTAAAAAAGGTGCGAACAGAATCGCCACCACCATGGTGGTTTAGCTCTTAACCTTGAGCACATTTCACCTTTGTTCACCAGCCTGGCTACCTTTCTGCAGTTTACTCTTTCTGAAAAGGCAATGCACGGGCGATCAAATGCATTAAGGCACAAGACAGTAAGAAGGGTCAGGTAGACGCTGAATCGAGGCCAGCTATCCCAGCCACCAGGACAATACAGATAAGCTACCTTCTCAAATGTGCCCCCTTTGTGCAGTGCTCACTTTCGCAGCAGGTGATCTAGCTTACCTACGGTTGTTTTGATTGGTTACTCAGCCTAGAATTAACGCATTGACGATCAGGCTTCTAGAAGATCACCCAACCAACCAACTGCGCTTGGATTCACTGTCTCGATAGACTGGTCTATAGTACCCGTATTTTCTTGATAGACGTCAACATCCTTACTTTACGATTGCAGGAGAGCTGGCTGTGATTAGTTCATGGTCCACAGAACAGGTTGTATGTTCTCTCCAAGTTTCCAGATTCAACCCATATACAGGATGGAAGTACTCTAACCTAAGATTTGTCAACGCCTCACATTCGTACGAAATCGAAAAAAAATGGAAATCGTTCATCCGTAACACCCTTCCGGTGCCTAGCTGCCATGCCACCCTAAGGTTGCACGAGGGCTGGGATACTACCAGGTTGCCCAAACCTAGACAGGGAAAGTGGACAGGCAGAGGTCGGGTTCGAGCCACGCACCTTCCGGTCAGTAAATTCGCGCTTTAACCACTTGAACCATCTCCTCCTCACTTTCGTGCGGATTGCTCAAGAACTAGAGCTGCAGGCTCGCAAAGAAGGCTGACTAGAACTGTAATCGATTGAACACCCTCGACTGTCTCATTCAACGCGACGTACGAAGGCGCATCTTATTCTCGTCTGCAGTGGTGAAAATCGCGCAGCGACTCCAATCTCTAGTAGATCATAATGTTGACGGAAACTCGGGGTCTGCGCCTACCTGATGAGCCCCAAGAAGGGCGAAACCGGTTGTGGGCTGCCGAAGAGTTTTCAGCAACCTTATGAGTAGTTTCATTCATGAAAATACACTGCGATATCTCGAATATCGTACCAACTGAAACATGAGGCGGCCAGGTGCAGCCAATTCAGTTGAGTAGAAAACATCACAAACGAGAAATTCGGCTGGGTTCCAGATGCGTCACTCGAAAAACCGAATTTTTTTAGCAAATGAGTGTATTTCGCTAATTTCTGTGCCGAGAAGAGATCGCGGGTTTCTAGAGATCAGCTCTTTTGGGGATCCTTAATGAGAATAAGACAGTTGTACAATGCTTTTAGGTTTTCTAGCACAAATTTATTTCCCTTATAAGACAACCTTAAGTTCACATCCACGCTCCAAAATTTGATTCAGGATTCAACTATGCCTATAACATCAGATATAAGTAGTACAAGGCTTCCACCAGCGTGCTGTTTCGTTTTTCCTCGCCACGGAGGTTCCAGCATGCGAGGAAACTTGTGCTCTTCCTTTTTTACTCCTCAACAATAACTCATTTGCTCACCAACTTGGTTTTAACCTGAAGACCCACCTGAATTCAGTCTGAATCTCTCGTTTACGGTATGCCCCAACTGAATGTGCTACACAGAGAGTGCCTTGGGTCTCAGCTGGTCCTGTAGTCGAGGGGGACTTCATATCGTTGCTTGAAACTCCTCAACACAGCGCCTCATCAGGCAGGCGCTGTGTTTTCAGCAACTTCGAATAGTTTCCATCGTTTTCTTGTTGTCACGTTTTGACATAGTTTTCAAGGTCGCAGTCTGTCCCAAAATGCTATCTCCAGGTGTACGGGATCCGTCTTACCTCGCATTTTTGTGTTTACACTTGTCTCCGAATGACTCATTGTGTTTTTTCGCATGTTGAATGGTTTTTGCATCGTCTCTGCAGACATCCTCATTAGGGAGCAAGTAACTCAGGCTAGGTCACTCAAGCCCCCCTCGAGGGATTTTGGAAAGATCGGGGGAGATATTGAGTCAGAGCACGAGGCGAAGGTGCGCCTTCTAGAATCAGGTTTTCTATCCAAGAAGTGCACGCCAGCTCCACCTCTCACCAAATGAATATGTTTCGCGAATTTTGCACAATTTGGATACAAGTGTAACGGTGATACTACTTATGGGGAGGCATGTGAGTAGTATGTGTTGTTCTTGAAATTTCGCCTTACGTCTCTTGAAGAGGGAAGATATCTTGCGGAATTTGTGGAGTCGCTTTGTAACATTTGCTTGGATTTGAGCAATAAATGATTGGAGTCAATGAATATCCAGGAAAGTTCAAGAAGACGCGTTCAGGAGAAGATGGATGTCCAGTTTTTGTAAATAAGATACAAATGAGAGTTTCGCTTCCCTGTCCAATAGTCTGTAACCGGTCAGTTGGCAGTTTCTAATAAGACACTCCGCAGCGAAGGCCTTCTTCCTTTCACTGAAGGAAAGGAAGCTGGGAGACTCGTGAACCCTAAGAAGGTCAAAAGCAGTCGTGGGCTGTCGAAGGGTTTGAGTAGCGTGTTCCTTCAAGTTTGACATTCAAACTGTTTTGTCTTCCCACCTTACATCGTACCAGTGCACAGGACGACTGTTTACTCTTTCATGTGCATATTAGTTGAAGTCCATCCATCAGATAATATGGGAGAAGGGGATGTTATTCAAGTATACTGGAAAAAAGTATTGTTCTGCTTGTACATTCAGAACGGCTTTGGGTTTTGAAAGAACCACTGCACCGATGTTTAATCCCACTAATTCGTCACAAAATGACCGGGACCTACCGTGGTGTGACGGTTTCCATGCCATTCCAGGGGATCGCTTGTGTCACCGGCGCGAGTTGGTTGATGGTCATCGAGACTAACAAGTTGGGTTTGGGAACACAGATGGAGTGACTCGCTCTTCAAATTGTCTGTGCGAACTAATCTAGATGGTTTATTGATAGTGGTGCCTTGCTTCACAGTGCATCCTGAACCTCTAGAATACAAGATTTTCTAAGATTTTCCACCCCTTTATACGGCTTCGAAACTCCAGAATGGGGAGCTTGGATTTGTTTATGGTTTTACCATTCTTGGGGCGAGATGGCCGAAATGGTTAGAGCTCGAATTCACTGACCGGAAGGTCCGTGGTTCGAACCCGACCTCTGCCGCATCTCGACTTCCCCTGTCTAAGCTTTGACAACCTGGCAGTATCCCAGCCCTCGTGCCTCCTTCTGGTGGCACGGCAGCTAGGTACAGAAAGGGTGCGACAGCTGCTTCAGCGGTAGTCTCTAATCCTTCGTGAATGCAATACCCCACCTAGTAATGTTACCGCAAGTAGAACTCTGGCTGCGTTTGCCTAGGCTTCTCGCTTTTTGAGACTGGCGTTGTGGCATTACGAATTCCGGAGGGTGTATTATCCAGCTGAAAAGTTTATCTCCAATTTGGTGCTATTCTGATGACTTATTTGCTCTTGATTTCGACTTTCACCGACAGATCGGAGTCACAAACTTGATCGCCTCTTCAACGAGACATACTCGTCCACCCAGGATCCTTTCACTCGTCGTGGAATCCTGCAGAGCATAGGCTTCAAGGAATTCGCGGACTATTTGGCACTTCCACCAAACTCGGGTGATCGAGATACACCTGGAGGACAGAAGCTGCTCGCGGAAGCCATCGACCAAGTCAAACTGGCCACCAGACAGTATGCTCGCAGGCAGGTATGACGAGACGCTGTTTACGCAATTACATTTGGTACTATGCCCCAAACTTGTTTCATCTACCTTAGTCAGTCTACGAGGGGTTTTATCCTTTATAAAGCGATTCCCTCCCGGTTTTCATTCATGCCTGAACTTGTCTCCACGAGGCTGTCTTAATTTTTTGCAATCATGCATTTTCCCTCCTTCACATTATATTGTTCACTACTCTTACAGTTTCATGCGCCTGATCGCACAAGTTCAAATGTCGTTACAAACTTTCCCACCTCGGATAAGTTCGTTTCAATCCAAGGTTGTCTGGAGACAGGAATCAATTGAACTAAGAGATAACTTTGGTCCGCTCGATAGTCGGTGACTGCCGTGACCTTCGCGTTTGTTCTTTGCCGTTCCTTCTGAGTTTACCACGGTCATACGGAACCTTTCGTAAGTCAGGTGAGGCGTTGAGGTTGCGTTTTGGTGAAGCAAACGGGACGAGGCAGCGCCCAATTTCAAGGCTTCCATCAGTTGAGGAAAGGATCGAGGTCGTTCAGCTATAACTACCATGCCACCAGAAGGAAGCACGAGGGCTGGGATACTGCTAGGATGCCCAAGCCTAGACAGGGGAGGTCGGGTTCGAAACACGAAACTTCCGGTCAGTATATTCGCTCTCTTATCGCGGAGGCACGTGGCCCCAGGTCATCTAAATATCCACCGAGTAGCTCCGGGGATCTGTAGAACTCACATTCACATCAATCTGGTTTGAACCCTTCCTGTATATTCGTAGTGCACTACTCATAAGGTCGCCCACGACCGGTTTCGCCCTTCTTGAGGCTCATCAGGTAGGCGCGCAGTCCCCGAGTTTCCGTCAGCCTAATGTCGTGCGATTTGGTATCAAGTGGAACATAACGTTGAAGGAAACCCGATACTGCGCCTAAGTAATGAACCCCAAGAGAGGCGAAACCGGTCGTGGGCTGTAGAAGAGTTTTCAGCAACCTTGTGAGTAGTTTCCTTTAAGGCTACGGTTTTTGTTCTGTAACCGACTTGCCTGTACGGATTTTGCCATCCAATAGCTAGTTGCGCCTTGAAGTTTAGGATATTGCCCACGTGTCTGTAGTGGAATCAATCAAAGCTGGTATCCAGACCGAGTGATCGTAAGTGTTCCCACTGAACAAACGGCACGATGATGACGTGAAATCTGTTGAATTTTTAAACAGGACTTTGTGCAGCTTGCTTCCATGAGCCTTCCGTGAGCCTCACAACAAGACCGTCTCACAACGCAGCCGCTGAATACTAGCCTTTCTCGTAAAAGTTTTTTTCGTTCCGTTTAGTTTCTGAACTCGGTTTATGCCATTTTATGTTTCCCTCGGTTACAGACCCACTTCATTTCCATCTCCACCAGGTAAAGTGGATCGTCAATCGTTTCTTGAAACGCCCACAGTTTGGAAGCATACCGGTGTATCGCCTCGACACGACGCCAACTCTGCATTCCACGAGCCCGGATTCCTGGGATCATCACATCCTGGCTCCAGCATGCCGTATTTTCTACGAACACATGGTCAAAGTTGGCAATTGGACAGACCAATTTGTATCGGATTTCGAACGTTTTCGAACACTGCTAGGCTACTGCCCTTCGTCCGACTGTCCCAAGCAGTGTGATTTCAAACCACTACTGAAGGAAGAACTGGCTTCCCCGTTGATTTGCACCGCCTGTGATAACAGGGTTTTCGTGCGACTAGCCGACTTTGAGGCTCACCGTCGGAGTCGTTCTCATCAAAAACGTGTCTCCAAGTTACGTAGACGGGAACAGATGCAATCGGTGGGGTCTTCGTGAAATCAAACCAGTTGGTGATAGGGTGTGGTATCCGGAGAGTCTTTACAGACCAGATACGTGGGCTCGCAACATTGTACAGTTATTTCACGTGTAAATGTACGCTTCATTCTGTTGGACGCATTCTGTTTTTCGAATTTGGGATTTCCGTGATAGGCTAAACCAAGTTTCTCTTCTTGGCGAGATGGACCAAGTGGTTAGAGCGCGAATTTGCTGACCGGAAGGTCCGTGGTTCGAACCCGACCTCTGAATCTCGACTTTCCCTGTCTAGGCTTGGGCAACCTGGCAGTATCCCAGCCCTCGTACTCTCTTTGAGTGGCATGGCAGTTAGGCACCGAGGAGGTGCTACAGCTGAACGCTTTCTTTCTTGAATGAACTGTATGTGGGTTCTTGGAAGCTTTGCGTTGGAGGTGCGTATCAAAATAGCCCGTAACTTGTTGGCGGACGATATAAGTACAGTGATTTCCGTAATTTGTGGAGGCCCTTCCTGTGCTGACGAAACGTGCGACCCAATCGCGGTTTGAGGGCTCTACCGGAGGTTGGCAACTACTCTCATTTACACGTGAAAAGTTTTCAGTAACCTTATGAATAGTGTGTTTTGGGTGCATGATAGAGGTGAGGTCTGATGCGCGTTTTCAGACATTGAAGTGGAAGCTAATTCCGAGTTTGATGTAGCAGAGACGTTGGAACCCGCAGTCTGTAACATCCTCTTTCAATTTGTTAGGGGTTTATTGTGACTGATTGTGTTGATACTGGACAACAGTAGAGTTATTGACAGTTGGACGAGCAAGGAAAACTTCGCTGAACCGGGAGCTGCAGAGGAAGATGATAATTGCCAGCGGGGTTGAGTGAGGTACCCCACCTTTGACCCAAGGGGATGCAGGGAACTGTCTTTGACCGGGAGCGCTGGGAGTAAGGCGTACGCTCGTAATACGAATTCTAGCCGTACAGCGACTTGCTATTCCTCGTCAGACTGCTCCAAGTAGGCTTTGCGGAACTGTGTTCCAGCTTGCGCGACCCGCAGGGTCATTGTATCAAGCGACCAATGGATCTGGTTGTATTCTTTTGTTGCTAGACTCTAGTCGTACGCTGCAAGTTTTTCCTTATCTTAGCTTGAGCTTTACTCGCAGACAGTCTGAACGGACCCGAGCTGGAATCCTAGCATGAGCGACTTTAAGACGGATGCGGACCCTCGTCGTGAAATGCGGTTAACATTCAGTAGAAAAAGGCATTCAGCTGTAGCACGCTTTCGACGCGTGGCTGCCATGCCACCCAAAGGAAGTACGAGGCCTGGGATACTGCCAGGTTGCCTAAGCCTAGACAGGGGGAGTTGAGAGGTAGTGGTCGGGTTCGAACCACGGACCTTCGCGCTCTTACCCATGAGCCATCCCGCCGCCTATCATGCGATGGTTGCTGGGTCACCAGAGGTGTGCAGTCAGAAGCGGTGGAAAGCGACGGGAATGCCAGCCCTACTTGGATCTTGAATTTTCGTTTCATTCAGACGACACATCAATCGAAAGCGACTATGGTCATAGTGGCCGATTTAACCGTAGATATGGCAGCCAACGGCAACAGACAGAGGTAGGATCTGTCATTCCTTAGGAATGAACGTACGGAGCTGTGGCTGGCAACTGTGCAAGGAGGGAGAGGGAAACGAGTATGTGAAATAGGGGAAAGGGAGGCGTCCTGTTGTATGCAGCAAACAAGGTGACGTGGTTGATAACCCCTGCGACAGCCGGTGGGGCATAAAATTGCCTGTGAGTGTGCAATCCATGGGTTGGGATACCACCAGGGCGTCCAGACCTGGACTGGAGGACAATTAGCCTGACACCGGGCAGCCGCGTTCGATGTAAGATCGTCACAGCAGCCCACATTTTAGGAGGTGCCACATGGTTCGATCCTTTTGAAGTTCAGGTGACTAGATTACTCAGATCTCTGTCCCGTCTGGTATGGTAGTCTCTACGAGTGTTACACACGCTCCCTCGTATAGCTCAATGAGTGGGGTTGGTGCGAACCGTCACACCGTTCATTCTCCTCGTTCCACCGGTCGGGTGACCATCGCCTGTACAGTTTTACGTGATTCACTGAGGACTGCAAAATGCAAGCACTTCATGTAGTGTCACGAATATCGATGTCCATTGTCCAAAAACGTTAAACTAGGGACCACAAAAAGGGGTACGAGATGGCGCGAATTTACTGACCGGAAAGTCTGTGGTTCGAACCCAACCTTCGCCTCTCGACCTCTCCTGTCTAGGCTTGAGCAACCTGGCAGTATCTCAACCCTCGTACTTCCTTCGAGTGGCATGTCAGCTAGGCAACGAAAAGGTGTTACAGTCGAATGACTAGTAACAAATTGTGTTCTGCTAAGCCGAAGTCAACCTTCGAACACCTAGGTGGCTTCATTGATTGCCTCAGTGAACTACGGGACGCATGAGTTTTCATGTCAAGAACGCTAACCAGTCGGATGATTGTAAATTGCGAGTGAATTTCCATCCTCAATCTTCGTCAGTTGGTTTTAGCTGCATCGAAGTCGGCCACACGACTGATTTCTTAGTCTGATATATTTTGGATACTACTATGTTTGAACAACCCGCTTTTTTTGTTCCAGGAGGAAAACATCCATTCTTCACAAAAATGCCCAGAAAGCTAGTGACCAAGCTAATCACGGTGGCCATTGAATCTTATCACAGGTTGGTCATTCGCCTGGAGAACAAATGGGCCCATCACCATCCGTCCAGTTTTCGGAATTACACCACTTTTAAAAGTGGTAAGTTCAATTTCGGACTTGAAATTTGATTATTTTTTTTCAAAAGGGCAATTCGAACATGTTCGCAATTTTTACCAGCAATCAGACTTGTAACACTGTATTGTTAGTAAAGTAAAGTAAAGCGTAATACAGTACGGTTTAAGCGGAGCTTATTCTGAGCTGTTGTTATCAGGGATTGTAGACACGATGTGGGTCGGGAATCGAACCACGGAGCGACCGATAACTACATTAAGAGTTCCGTCGTTCGGCGGTCGGGTATGCAAGTAGGTATTCGTTTTCTGCACAACATGCCCACTTCCGAGTGATTAAATCGATACCTACATGCAGTCGATCATCAACTGTATTGTTTTCTATAGAGGAGAATGTCGGTAGCTCGTTGGCTTGTTAGCTGAGCTGGGCACTTTGGTTGCAAACGTTTCATCACCAATCGAGGTGACATCATCCGTGCGTGGTTGTGCGTAGCGGTGGGTTAGTGGTTGTGCGTTCAGTAGTGTTACGTGTGTGTTGATATACGCACTGATGATGTCACCTCGATTGGTGATGAAACGTTTGCAACCAAAGTGCCCAGCTCAGCTAACAAGCCAACGAGCTACCGACATTCTCCTCTATAGAAAACAATACAGTTGATGATCGACTGCATGTAGGTATCGATTTAATCACTCGGAAGTGGGCATGTTGTGCAGAAAACGAATACCTACTTGCATACCCGACCGCCGAACGACGGAACTCTTAATGTAGTTATCGGTCGCTCCGTGGTTCGATTCCCGACCCACATCGTGTCTACAATCCCTGATAACAACAGCTCAGAATAAGCTCCGCTTAAACCAGCTTGTAAATACTTATGAATGACCGACTGTTCACCGGTCAAAAGTTTTTGTCCAGGCATGCAGTGAACGTGAGTGATCAGGCAGAAGGCGGTGAACCTGATCAGGTCGGGCGAAGCAGCCAACATTGTTAGACACTAATCGATGGCCAACAATTAAGCAAGTAACAATCAAATGGCCAATGAGCTACAAGTCGGTGACGTCACACGCCACAACCGATCCTCATGCCAAGCTTACTTATCGATCGATTCCCGCTAAATCGGAGGTCGCAACCCCATAGGACTCGAACCTGTGTGCCCCGTCAAGGGTTCTCAGCTATGAATGTCTGCTCAGCAGTCATCAGCTGCTGTAAGAGTATTCATTATGTATGGCTGGTTACTATTTAGCCACGAACTGTTCATCTGCAGTGAAGTTCCCGGTTTCTGTTTAATATTATACTTTGCGGATTTTTGGTAATCTTAGTTTGGAGTCATTTTTGGCAGTCATTTTGTTTGTCACGTCGAAACACTCTTTTCGAATGTACCCTTCAGTTCGCAGTTGTTACACCTGCACGAAATTTACAATGAGTAGTCATCGTTTTTTTAAATATATTTTTCGCGCGTTCGAACATGGATATCCGGAGGCGGGGCGCTCCAAATAACTGAAAATTACGTCGATTGGATGCATGTGTTGCGAGTCGGCGATGGAGCCAACAAAGTCGTGCAATGATTGGTCAGTATTCCAGCCAATCAGGACCGGGCATTTACAGCTCGACTCTTCTCGTCCAATCAACTGCGAACAATTGGGAAATTTCTCTAGAAACCCATGGATGCAGTCGCAGTTGTCTCGATAAAGACCAATATAGGAAGTGCAACACCACCCGCAAGACACAACAATCGGACACCCGGATACTTTGTCAACTTTGGTTTGTCGCCTCAATTTGACGAGTCGAATCCACGTTTTCGTCTTCTCCGCATGCCAAATTCCAAAATTTCATGTCCATTCCATTTTTACCCCCCCCCCACCTTCACCCCAGGGCTTCACTCGACCCTGTTGGATATTAACGACCTCTTACGACTGTGGACAAAGTTATCCTTTGATAATCGGTCAATCTTGCAATGCCTTCCTGTGATGACGCAGCGAGAGCTTTACGTTCTACGTCAGGTCAGTGATAAATCCTATCCACCTCCCCTCCCCACCTCGTTTCTGTGGTTAATTTCAGCTTTTAGCCTTGTTTGATTTGCTCACTTTTCCAATAAGCTCGGGATAGATGCAAACTTACAGACCGAGAGGTCCATGGTTCAGCCAGTCCAACCACAGCATCTCGACTGCTCCTGTTTAGACTTGGAGAACTTCGCAATACCCCTCCTTGTGCCCTAGTTGCAGGGGGGGGGGCGAGACGGCCGAAGTGGTTAGAGCGCGAAATTACTGATCGGAAGGTTCGTGGTTCGAATCCGCCCTCTCCCTCTCGACTTCCCCTGTCTAGGCTGGGGCAACCTGGCAGAGTCCCAGCCCTCGTGCAACCTTCGGGTAGCATGGCAGTTAGGCACCGGAAGGGTGCTACAGCTGAGCGATTTCGATTTTTTCGATTTTTTTTCGCTCTAGTTGTAACCTAATGAGATTGATTTTCACAGGGTAACAAGTACTAACAAATGTCTGTTTTACCAGGAAAATACGAAAAACAGAATAAGCCAAGAAGGTGACTTATCGTTTCAGAGTTCCCGCGTAAAAGTCTGGACGCGGGACGTGTCTTCTCGGCAGTATAGCTGCCACACGTATTCTGTATAGTTAGCCGTGAAAACTTGTGGAGCTCGGTTGACTTCCTGTACTGTGCGCGCGCGTGTGCGTGTGTGAGTTGGGCAGAGTTGTACGCCTATTTATTGTGTGTAGTGTGAAAAGAGGGTGTCCCTTCGTGTTTGATGCTTTTACTAACACTTCACCTGATCTGGTTGAAGTTCGTGAGCCTGGCGCGTCTAAGGCATGTACCGCCATCGCTGAGTCTTTGACCAATGTCTGGTATTCTTCCGCATTCGTTGGTGGTTTGTTTATTCTTCTTTTATGCTCACAAATTCTGGTGTGCGATTCCCTGGTAATCATGCACCTTCATTAGGAATTCGTACGACGTTGCCAGAAAGATCGCAGGGCTCCCTTTGGAGATGGACGAAGTCCTCGTGAGTTTTGACACTCTCAGTGTACACAAATATCCCTAAAGCAGATGCTCTGGAGGTAACTAAGATGTTACTGGCAGACACGACACTCTTGGAACGAACACTGCTCTCGCGGGATACAGATCTGGAGAGTGTGGAAGTTTTAAGACAGGGACTGCGATTCACACCACATCGGCTGATAGCCGAGGCGGTGCAAAGTACTAAGCATCACAGCGGGAATAGAATCGAGGGTGTCGAGCTAGCGAGCGCATGGAAAGCGGTCTTAGATAAGCCGAGTTGACACGTGACGGTGTGGTTGTCAATCCACTTAGGATCATTAGAAAAAACGGGGTGGAAACCCCAACCAACCAAAGGGCACAGGATCCCTCTTACACAACTTCCTTTGCACTAGCTCACCCACACAGATTGACAGAAGGTTCAAACTAAGTTCAACAGGGACCCTCAAATGAACCGAACCAGAAGTACTAGACCCTAGGCTGGACCCAAACACGTGTAGGTTTCCCCTTCGACCCAACACTTGTTCAACCACTCTAACACACTAAAATCCCTCGGCCAACACTCAACAGAGTTTTATCTTGACTTAGCTGCCTTCCGCCTTAAATCTCCGCCAACCTCGGAACCTATTCACTTGGTTTGACGAAGCTTTTGTTTAAAAAAGTGAAACGTTGAAATCTGCCGATTGTCACCAAACTTTTTGGAAAACGTTGACTACCCAATCGGTTCCAAGTATTTTTCACGTGATTGTAGTGTACATGTTTTCGGCTGAAGTTGCAAGTGAGTCACAAATTGTCACATGGTTTGAGTGTTAGTGACACATAATCTAGTGAGTGACCGCTGCACCTCCACCGTCGTGCTTTGTTCAGATGGAATGATGGTTGTCCACCGAGAAGGCATCATACCCGAATGGTTGTTTTTTATTGCGTTTGTCAAGACTCTACTGTTGAGTAGCTCCATGGACGTCTGAAATCTATTGAACTGTTTTAGAGAGCTGCACTCATTCGCATACCAATTTGGTTTTCAGGGGAGACTCAGCTGAACCTCCTTGTAAGTAATTTGTCACGTCTAGGCAGCGTATCGTACCAAGTGAAACATCAGGCGACCCGGTGCAGCGCATTCAGCTGAAAAACAGCGTCATGAACGAGAGATTTAGTTGACTCTTCCTTAGAAACCAAATTGGTGAGTGTGGTTCACTAATTTCGTGCAGTTTGGGTTCAAGTAGGACGTAAATTTTAGGGAAACCCGGGGACTACGCCCCAAGAAGGGCGACCTCGATCGTTTGCTGTCAAAGAATTTTCAGCAACCCTGTGAGTAGTGTGTTACGTCTATCGTGAACAATTTTGTTCTGCTCACTTGCGAGTAGTTACGGTATCGTTTACATTTGTCCTGACAGGTAGACAAATGATCGATACGACCAAGAATAGAGCCCTAGTTGGAAGTGTTAGACACACTGGGTACAATGTGCAAATAGGTTCTTCTCTTCTGTCTGGCGCTCGAAAGTTAACAGTGGTACTGTGCTCTTCTCGCTCAGTCCACAGCTCAACTCTCTGCGTTGCCAACACTAGGCATTTTTGGTGTGCGGACTAATCTGAACGATCAGATCAAGACATGAGCAGAGGGTATACAAGACACACCATCATGGTTTGCTTCCCCATTCGCAAGAAAAAGCCTATCACTTTCACCGGTACTCTTTTGCTCTCCGTTGTCCCATCAGGTCCCCCGAGACCTTTTGCGTTTATCCCCAGTCCTTCTATTGGCTCCGTTACCGGGTACGGTTTTTCTACTTCCTTTCTTGTAAGTCTATCAGTCTGCTACACATTGATATTGCTAGCTTTCACTTCGCCTGTTTGTTTTTTCGAATTCTTGTTTGCCAACGGGGATCTTGTTTGTGATACACGTCGTAGGGGTCCGTTCACGGGGTTTCAACTAAACGTGTGGGGCGAGATGGCTCAAGTGGTTAGAGTAAGAATTTACTGACCGGAAGGTCCGTGGTTCGAATCCGACCTCGGCCTCTCGACTTCCCCTGTCTAGGCTTGGGCAACCTGGCAGTATCTCAACCCTCGTGCTTCCTTCGGGTAGCATGGCAGCTAGGCACCGGAAGGGTGTTACAGCTGAACCAACTAAACATGTTACTTTGGACTGAACACAAGCATCAATTATGCTCTTATATCCGGCTTTGTTTTACTTCGGACCTCTCGCCTATGTCCGTACCAGAAGTTCATTACCACAATCGTTGGATGTAGGCCTCGACAAACGGTATTGATTGAAGTATGTCTACAAACACGAAGCACACAGCCGTGAAACGACTGATTGACAATCGTTAGTAAGTGGTTATGGATGTCACGTGTTCGCCATGGCTCTTTTTTTGAAAATAACGAAGCGTGGAAAACTGCAATTTAGGAAGATGAGAATACCAGCGGTTGCAAACTCTTGTGTAGGATCACCATCCAAAATAAACGGAAGAAGGGACCGCTGGCCAAGACTCGGAGGTCCCCAATCGGGATGTTGAAACCTGACCAATGAGAAACAAACGAATCGAGTGTCACGTGACGCCACACCAATGCCAGATTATGTACTTTGAGTTATTTACCACAGTTTACCCGTTCACCCGCCGTCCTTGTCCAGCATTGTTGCCGTATATATCCATTTCTCCACTCCCCTCCCTGCTTTGAAACTTGACGGTGGTTCGAATGCGCCATTCTATTTTTTTCAGCTTCGCCTACCCTTATGTCTTTCTGAATCGGGCCTTTTGGACCGAAAAACAACGAAGTGAGTACGATTCAAAACAGCTGGTTTGGCGACTCAGTGTCTCTCGCAACGAGCTGATTCGCAGTCTGCATCAAACTACTGAGAAACTGAAGAAATCCCCAGGTGTCTCCGTGGCTACTGTTCAAAGGCTTTCTGCACTTGATGAGTTGTTAGACAAGGTGAGTTCTGATGATCACATCTTAGCTGTGTTACCAGCTGCCATGCCAGTCGAAGGAGGCACAAGTACTGGACTGCAAGTTTGCTCGAGTTCAGTCACTGTCCTAACCGTATCCCATTTGATTTTGTTTGTAGCTTCGGTCTTCTAGGATGCCGCTGCATCGGGAACTGATCGCTGCATCTGCAGTTTTCGACGATCAACTGACTTTGGACAAGCTTAGTAAAGTTCATGTGGTGAGTCGCTTGTCCATCCATTTTCGCGCTTTCTGCTCTCGTGTTCAGTATGGAGAGATTAACATGCAATGGAACAACGGCCTTGACATACTCGCCGGTATTAAAAATGAGAACACGTTGCTAGCTCGTGTAGATAGTTGTTGGCTTGGTTGCTGAGTTGGGGTCAGATTGACAAAGGTCACGAAGTAGTCAAGGACAGAGGTTATTCCAACACTGACCAGAGGCCAAACCTTCAGGTCAAACCAGTGAATCGCTCAGCTGTAGCATCCTTGCTCTTTCCAACTGCCGTGCCACCCGAAGAAAGCAAGAGGGCTTGGATACTGCCAGGTTGCCCAAGCCTAGACAGGAGAAGTCGAACCGGTTCGAACCACGAACCTTCCGGTCAGTGAATTCGCGCTCGAACCACTGACCCATCTGGGCTCACAGGTCACGTGGTCAGCTACCAATCAGAGCACAGGATAACAAACCATCTGACCGAACCAACAATCGTGACCGAAAGTCAGCCCCGACTGGCAGGTCGTATTTTAAAACACGTGTACCATTACTCAAACCGACCTCTCGCTATGCCCCACTACGTTACCTAACAACGCACTGGTGTTGCCACCTCAAGTGGTGATGAAAGTGGTTAGAGCTCGAATTCGCCGACCGGAACGTCCATGGTTCGAACCCAACCTCTGCCTCTCGACTTCCCCTGTCTAGGTTTGGGCAACCTGGCAGTATCCCAACCCTCGGGCAACCTTCGGGTGGCATGGCAACTAGGCACCGTAAGGGTGCTGAACGATTCGATTTCGGTGATGAAAGTTTTGCAATCGAATGGCCGCAAACAAACCAACGATAATGAGGTGCTACGGTGATCGGATCCTTTATCACTCTGCTCGTGATTTCCCCACTTGTGATGGCTTTCGATATCAGCACCAGGATTGGAAATCGCATTAATTGTGCAGATGGCTTTATGCCGTACTGGTGTGAAGTTTTGCCCAATGTTAATCCCCTGCAACTGTTCTGCGACATGAACCTAATCACAGATGGCCTCATCCTCTTTTCTATACCTGATTACGTAAGGCTGTTTTGCGGACGGTATCAGCTGTCGCTCTCTAATTTTTCCATTGAATTTTGTTTCGTTCGTATAAATGCGTTTGTACGCTGTCAGAATGATATGGCCGGAGGTCGAAGTAACTCGTTCTCTCACATTCTTCCGATCGGCTTTGTTGGTTTGCGTTGTGTTCAATCAATCAATCAATCTGTCTACGAATCAGTAAATCAACCTATCTATCCTGCAATCAATCACTCGATAAGTCAATTAGTTAATCGTCNTCCGATCGGCTTTGTTGGTTTGCGTGGTGTTCAATCAATCAATCAATCGATCTGTCTGCGAATCAGTCAATCAACCCATCTATCCTGCAATCAATCACTCGATAAGTCGATTAGTTAATCGATCGATCAGTCAGCAGCCAATCAGTCATTCAATCGGTCAATCGATCGACAGGTCAATAAGTCAACCAGTCAATCACTTCTAAAGGCTCTGACGATTGTTCTAGATGGAGGATGTACTGAAAGTGCATTCGCTTTGATTACGGAAGACAGCTGTATAATTTTAATGGTCTTTACTGAAAATATCACCCTTTGATTACGGAAGACAGCTGTATAATTTACTGTATAATTTACTGTTCGGTTCCTTTATCGCTCTGTCTCTGTTTCCTCTTCAGTTCAATCTGTGTCGGTTGCACGGTCTGCCTGTTCGCATTCGTCTTTCCATGTTTACGCGTTGGCCTTGCACGCGAATCTACCTGGAGCCGAAGTACTTCCATTTTCGGCGGTTGCGTCTTCTCCGATTCCGGGCCTCCTTGCTGTCGTGTGAAGACCGCCTTGTTCATCGTACGATGATCCAGTATTCTGGTACTGTCGCTCCTCCTCTAGCCGAGCTACGTGATGTAAGACGTTTGATTCCACTTGGACACAACTTTGTACTTTCCTTCGGTTACCCCCTCCCCGCAGGATGTTCTTCTTCCGAACATAAGTGACCGGAAAATGCAGAAAAATTGCAGATATGTAATGATATCTACCATTATCTCAAGGTTTTTACACAGCTAGCACAAACATAAGTTTTTGTAACGAAATAGGAAAGTGAATGCTGTAGAGTCTTTAAATCCGTACTAATGGGAACCTTGTTGATCCGCATTACGTAGACAACATCGTCGAACAAACTGTCAACTTCAGAGCGCCAAGTCATGCTTCAGAGCATGCCTCTTGCTACCCAACCTAAAGCTGCCACCTTGACGTGGTGGTCGGGCTTCAGTGCTGCAATGATCCCGCGGGCTACACTGGCTGGAACTTCGTTCCACAAGGTGCAACCATGCCAGGAAGGCCAAAGGGGAGCAGCCAGACCAAGAGCAGCGAGACCCCGTACTACGAGTAATCGTGCTACGAGGCGGTCT